CAATTCCATATAACCTTAATATTTACATTCGAATAGATGAAACGTTTGATGGATATAATGCAAGAGGATTGGAAATTTCACGCGAAATTGAGAAACGAATATGAAATTCTTTGCGAGCATTACGCGATAGCAAGAAAAATTACTACCAGTTTTGTAGGTGAGATAATTTTAAATAAATTTCCAACAGATTGTAAAGAAAGCTTTCTCTACTCAAGATATCAAGATTACTTTTATTGTAAGGAGCTAAGAGAAAAGAGAGAGGGAGAAAGAGAGAGAGAGAGATTTAAAAAAAAAAACCTTTTTAATACTTACGAGGATCGTTGCGTTAATTCGTTGCATACAACAGCTTTTCTATTCGGATTAATAACACCGTTCGCGGCGATGCCATTGCTGCTGAACATAGGTGACGCTTTACGACTTTGCAACATATCGGATGATAGACCGTTGGCCTTTCGAGTCGAGTATTTCGTGGACGTGGATAAATATTATTATTTTCTTTTGATACACTCGTACATTGGCACTCTTGGGTACACCACCATTGTATTGGCCATCAATTCGATAATAATCGTTTACGTTCTACACGAATGCGGACTTTGTGAAATTTTGAGGTAATTTTTTTTTTTTTTTTTAATATATGCACTTTTTTGGAGACAAAGCGATTCGTCCAGTGAATGAACATTGTTGCTCACATCGTACGGAAAAGTAATACTTTCTGATCGAAAAACAGTATTTCTAGTGGAAATTCATAGAAGCCACGTTGAAAAGATTTTTTTTTAAATATAAAAATGAAAGAATATATAGAGAACCATGTTTTCTTAAAAAAATATTTTAATCCATTTTCAATCCAAACTTTTAATAACAAAATGAAACATTATATTAAGAATTATGTTGCTGAACGCATTATTTTGATAATAATACCAAGGAAATCAAATAATATGATTTGTAAATATTATTTTAAAATAATTTCATTCATTGGATATTTCATCCTATCAAGGATAAAATTATGAAAATAAAATGAATCAATTTATAATTGTTCAGAGTGAAACTAGAGAACTTTGTGGAAATCGATGCAATGGACATAGAATTACGCCCAAATAAATTCAAAGAGGATAAATGGTATCAAAATGCCAGGGACTGTGTACTCTTGCACAAACGCATAATCGAGTCGGTATTAAATTAATTCTTATTTATCTTTTCTCTCTCTTTTTTTTTTTTAATTATTTTTCAAATATCCTGCTTTTTTTCATTAATCAAGATTCGCTAAAATACTCGAGGATACAAATACCACGTCTTACTTGCTTCAGCTAGGACTCAATATGATTTGTATAAGCTTCACACAATTTCAGGTTAGATTTTTTTACTTTAATTTTATATTACAAATTTAGTTACAAATTGCTATTTATACATCGATCTTTTCTTTTTTTTTGTTTTTTTATATAATCAGGCAATAATAAATATAGAAGACATGCCCAAAGTTCTTAGATACGTTTCAGTCACTATTTCCCTTTTGTGCGATCTTCTGTTCGTCAGTTGGACGGGGCAACAGTTATCGAATTCCACCGAACGTATTTTTGAATACACGTGAGAAATTTTCTGCACTCATTCATTTATATTATATATATATTTATTTTATATACGAATAAATAAAAAAAGATCATCGAACGAGTAAAAAAAAAAAAAAAAATATTTCCAGAACAAATGGGAAATGGTACCAATCGTCGATAAATTGTAGAAAACTTTTGACAATAATGCTGTCGAAAAGTATAGCACCGTTGAGATTAACAGCTTGCAAGCTCTATACTTTAAATTTAGAAAGTTTCACTACGGTAAGAATTTTTGTTTACATCGATCTTCCTTTTCAAACTTTTTAATTTTAACTTTAAATAATCTTATCTTCCGTCGATATAATCTTATCTCAATCTTTCTTTTTTTAAACGTAATTATAGATATATATATATATATATATATATACTTCCAACATTTCGTAACCGTTATTTCCAAACCGTTTTCACATTATTATTTATTCTCTCGATTCTTTAAGATTGCCAAAACATCAGTCTCTTACACAATGGTACTGTGCTCCCTTCAATAATTTGTCGAATGGACGATTATCAAAGAGAAAGAGGAGGAGGGGGGAGAAGACGACGAGGAAAATTGTAAATGTATTATCAAAATAAAAAATGTAATCGTAAGTGTTCGATGTGTGAAAATTTAATTACGAGAAAACATCGATATTTTTTTTCTCTTTTCTTTTCTTCTCTCTTTCATTCGCGTTTTTTATTTTCATCGTCGAATCGCACCGTAACGCACCGTTTCGTCGTCGCGCGCCATATGGCTCTCGTGGGCCGATACTTTTTCGAGAAAAATAGATCGTCGACGGTGAAAACGGCAACACCGATCTATCACGGTTCGAGCCACGCGCCCCACCTGGGCTTAATTGATTTTCAGTGGCCATCGAACGACTCGTTCGAACGTCGATGAAAACTTGTTAACGACTCTGTCACGATTTATCGAAACCAATTATCAATTATATGTCGAAGGAAGAAATAGAAGTGGTCGCAATTTGACGGATCATAGATGGAATTAAAACGAATCTTGCCAGGATTCGTCATGACAAAAGAATGATTGTGAAGGTGTACACAATTTAATAAGAATTAATACAACTCGTTAAGAAATTCGTGGATGAAAATTTTTTTTTAACGATTCGTCACATCCGACGCGAAAACTAATTATATTTTTCAAAGGGTGAAATAATGGGAATGGTTCTATTTGAAATATCTGTATGATATTTATCGGTGAATTGTAATAAAACTCGTTAAATCTTCGCTAGATTAACGAATTTGTCAATGAAAAAAAATGTATGTATATAAAACAAATTATAATTAAGAATTATAAAAGCTCAAGAATTATAATAAAATATTACATCTTTGCTAGATTAAAAAATTTCTCAACGAAAGAGACTAATTATATTTCTCAAAGGAAGGAATAACAAGAACAGTTTAGATTAAAGAATTTGTCAAAAAAACTAATTTTATTTCTCAAATAACAAAATCGTGAATCTTCATTGATAAAATGCTAAATTAAAGAATTTATCAACGAAAAAAAAAACCTAATTACAAAATAACAAGTGATCAAAAATCGAGAACCTTCATTGATAAAAACCTTTGCTAGATTAAAGAATTTGTCAACGAAAAAAATTATATTTCTCAAATACAGAAGTGATCCAAAATCGAGAACCTTTATTGATGTTAAATTAAAAAATTTGTCAACGAAAAAAAAAAAAATTTAATTACAAAATAACAAGAGTGATCCAAAATCGAGGATCGTGAACCTTCATTGATAAAATGCTAAATTAAAAAATTTATCAACGAAAAAAAAAAAAATTTAATTCGAAAAAATCGGGGATCGTGAACCTTCATTGATAAAATGCTAAATTAAAAAATTTATCAAAAAAAAAAATCTACAAAATAACAAGAATGATCAAAATTCGAGGATCGTGAACTCTGCTCACAAAATAAAAGCGAAAATAAAACTCGCGTCCTTGCCGGGTTAACGAATCCTGGAGGCGGTCTGCACCGTCACATCCGAGTGGACAAGGTTTTTTCCCCCGTGGAATCGGCCCTCTTTATCCTGAAATCTGCCGCGCTCACCGGGGTAACACCTTGCGGCGGCCCAGGTTGGCGCAGGGCACGCGCCGGCAACCAGGGGTAGATCCGAGATCGATATCTTTAATTGTCTCAAGGCGATTCGTCTCGACCGTTGCATTCCGATAATTTTCCCTCCATTTAGTCCTTGTTCTAATCCACTGCTGATTGTCGAACTGATTGTGAATGATTTTTATTATATTATATTAATTTATTCATTGATAATATTTCGACATCAAACGCACAACTCACGTGAGTATATATAAGTTTCTTTTTTGTTTCCTCCTATTCTTCGGTTTCTTTTTATTGCCAGCGATGATCGAGACACGCTTATTATATTTTTTCCAGTCTCCGTTATGAAGGCATCTGTCGTTTCATCGATACGAAAGGAGCAAAGGAAACGATTTTTTTGTAGCCTGAAAACGATACAATGTAATAATTCGCATTATTAAAAATACTGGATCTCCCCTCCTTTCAACCCACTCTCCACACAGATCCAAGAATATTAAGCGGAATTTAAATCAACAGGTACACTTCCTTCCCGCCATTCGTTATCTAAATCAACAGGTACGCTCCCCTGTTCTTCAGGAAGTGCTCAACTCGAGTGTGGAACAGTAGTAGGAAGGAAGGAGTGAACGAAAAATGGTGTGAGGCGGAGACGAAGAGAGGGTAGATGCAGAAGGAGGCAGAGAACGATGGCCACACCAGGTGCATCCACGGAATGGACATAAAACGTACCATATGTTGATGCGGTGAAGGACGCCGTGGCACGCGCCACACTCAAACTCGAGCCTTTACACCGCGAGGATCGCCGACTCCTCTTCTCTCTTCATTATCGCCATTGCCCGCTGATGACACACGATCCCGTTTCGTTCCGTGTTCCTTGCGTCTCTGGAAGAAATTACAAAACGACGAATTAAATGGAAATGTCGATCGGTAATCACGTGATACCGGTTCATTTCACGTTTCGTGTGTCATCGAATGTTGGACGAGTTGAAAGCTTCGAGGGAGATTTATGTTTTTTTCGACTATAAGTGAAAAACGAAAATTGCGTTTGAGTTTAGTTTCCATCATTCATTTCATTTGTTAGAAATCGCAGTGAAAAATCGAGTCAAAAGTGTTCTTGGAAAAATACGGTTCCAAAGAGGAAGAAATCGTGCTATCGTTTTATCTAATGACATAAGAAGGCTATATAACATGTTAAGAAACATGGTTAAAGACTTTAAAATTTGGCGAATGAAGTAACAGAAAGGTTTGGTGGAATTTAATTATCTTTTATGAAACGTTATTTCAAAAGTAAATAAAACGTAAATAATCGTTGAAACTATGGCTCTTTTATCGAATCACCACGAATACCCAATTTCTTCTGAAATTGTAACGACCGCCTATCAGGCCGCGACCAAAAGTTACGACACTTTGTATCCCTCGCCGTACAACTCCCCGAATTACGATCCCATTAAGGTATCGTACGGAGAGAATTACACGCATAAAGGTGAGCTCACTCCGCGAAAAGACTCTGAAACGATTAGTTATGGAAAAGAGGTAGTGAAATATTCGAGAACACCAGATTCGTACGAAAGAAGCTCCTTTAGCGTTTTGACACCTGTCACACCTCAAAGGTAAGTTTCCAAATTTTTCTCAACAAATATCTTCGTTAATTCATTGTGTTGCATATGTCTGTTATTTGTTTGTATTCACAAATATAAAATTTATGTTGTAATTGTGTATAAATTAAGTTGCATGGATTACTTAAATAGAATTTTAACAAATTATGAATCTTATATTCGAAACACAGTGATTATGCCTTTTTAAAAAATTAAACCTATAGTTTTTTAGTTATAATTATTACACGAATTTCGAATAGTTCTTTAATTAGGAAATAAAAAATTGAATAAAATAAAAGAGAATTATGCTGATAAAAAAAAACTTTTAATTAAAATTTAAAGTACCATTATCGTAATCGTATCTTTCACACGATATAATTGTCAAAAAAGCAACATATAAGAATGAAATAATTATTAATGATCACATGTTTTTCTTATATTCTCATTATCAATCAATAAATATTAGACGTTAGTTGAAATTTCACGAAAATTGATAATATAATAATTTTAACAGGTATGAACCACAACACGCGATAAATCAAACCGTTTCTCCAAGAACGATGCTACACGAAGACAATTCCATGGAGTATCAGCCATCAGCCTATTGTTACGAAACACCACCTCAAGAACAAAAGTTTCAAATCCTCGAGAGCGGGAAACCGATGCAAATGGCTGTCGAGCAACGAAATAATTCTTGGGAACCTGTTACATCTGTGCAGGTATATCTCAATGGAACATTTGACATTTAATCGAAAAGTGTCTGCGATCCTATAACGAAAAATTTAAGATACTAAAGTATTAATTATATTTCGAAAGAAAAAAGTTTTTATCATAAATTGATATTCGAATGATGAAAGACTGAATTAGCATGTGTTTTTATAATGACAATAATACGATTATTTTTGTAGAAACAAGTATCACCTACCAATAGTCCCCGAAGAGGAAGACGACGATCCAGGGATATACCGCCATCGCCAAGTGTATTAAAACGTCGACGTTTGGCAGCGAACGCACGCGAAAGACGTCGAATGAACGGTCTGAACGATGCTTTCGATAAATTGCGCGAAGTTGTACCGAGTCTTGGAGCAGACCACAAACTTAGTAAATTCGAGACATTGCAGATGGCGCAAACTTACATCGCGGCGTTGTGCGATCTTCTTCAGGAACACGATGGAAAGTGGCAGTGAATCAATGTAAGTTTATTTATTTAGATTATACATTGTGAAATTAAAAAATACAATTGAATTCTAGATGAAAAAATTATGGTTTGTAGCCGAATAATGAATAGATATAATAAAGAAAGAGAAATATAAGGACTGATAAAAGGAAAATTATAATTATTATAATAGTATATAATAATATACTATAATATAGAAAGTTTTTTGAGAATTAGATAAGTTTGTCATTAAGTTTGTCATTTAATTTTTTACTTAATATAAATCGTGTGTAATATTTTGTTAATGAAAATTAATTTGCATGTAATTTGTTTTCCTTTCATTTATAAATTTATAATTATAAATTGTATACGATCAGACAGCTAATAATCCAAAGAAATGTTCTATAAATTTATGAACTTGCATTAAAAACAATTAGATTGTCATTAAACAAAGGCTTTGATATTATTTTTAATTTCGTATCCGTGCCATTATTACTAGTACAATATTTTAAATGGTATTTTTATATAAGCATTAGAAATTTTACATAACTCTATGCACATATAACATATTACGAAATTATAATAAAATTAATTATATATGAAGATGCTTTGTAAAGCAATTTTTTAATTGTAATAATACGTTTTACAATTTATTTTATATTATTTTATATTAAATTTTCCCGTTGGAAGTGTTAGTGATTTATGCATGTATTGTATATTTATATATTTATTGTGTAACTAGTCAAAAATATTTTGAAAAACAATTTCAAAATTTCGTAAAGCTAAGAATTTTTCTAAACCGTCCATTTAATAATATAAATATTATACGAAACCAAAGAAGACGATTATTAAATAATGTCATAAAGATTCAAACATGTCGAATAACAATAAATGATTTATAAAATAAGTAATTTTATAAATATAATATAACATTATGTCATTATTAAATAAATTAAATAAATTGAATAAAAAAAATTTATATCAAAACTATTGTAAATAAAATATTTAATTGAATTGAAAGAAATATTATTTCATCTTTAATATATTTATAATTGTGTTTCTTAACATAAAAAAATATATTATTTTTAATTAACCGGAAAAAGTGAGAAAATAACAAAAAAAGGAAAGAATTTGTGAGACAAATGTGTGATTGAATACAAACCTTGAATTTGGGCGTGGCTAAAAATGATCGAGTTTTCAAAATTGGTGTCTCAGGTAAAATTTATCCCGATTCTTCACCCAGGATTATGATTTGAAGATACAAAACGATACGATTCTCGTATTTTCCGCTGCATTTGTTACTACATTTTAATCCGATATTACGTTATCATGATAATAGCAGTAACATATACAAGTACAATAGATATATATATCAATTTAATATTTAATCTATTAATTTCTATCTTCAAATTTCTATTTAGGAAACATATTTTCTTCAATAACATGGCTCTCAAATATTTCATATATTTTAAAATAGTTTTAAAAAGTAATTTCGTTCGTGAGAAAAGCTGCGACAAAAGGGCGGTTTCAAGGTTAAATTAGCGCATGGCCGACGATACTCTAGCAAAAATTACATCCTCATTACTAGAACGTGTTGTTCGATAACGAGCCGTAACCGGCCATGTCTTGTGCTTGGCTCCCAAAGGGGAAGACGATTCGTTCCAGGCTGCGAGAACGACCGAACCGTCGTGAATTTTGTGACACCTCGCTACCCTTATGGTGTCAAAGCCAGCACCCTCGACGGAATTACGATTCCAGCCACCTGACTCCGTGTCGAAAGATTTTGCCACCGCTCTCTTAGGATAGACCGCAAAACTCGTTAACCCTTTTCCATGATTAAAACGCTCGTTGACCGATCCGTAACGGAGGGATTTGTCGGAAAAATTTTCTAACCTAGCTTTAGAGAAAATTACGCCGCCGAAATTCGTTTCGAGAACTCCCATGACGTCGTGTTTCTTCAAATTTATTGTGTGGACGAGAAATTTTCCAGGAATCGAGGAAAGAAGAAAACAAATTTTGATGAATATTTTTGAGAGAAAGGATTTTTTTATTTTTTTTTTTTTTT